CTTAATCATCAAACACGACTTAAATTTATTTTAATTCTAAATAAACCCTAAACCCTAATTAAATATCACTTTCAACACAAATCTATAACCCCCATCATGAATTCCACTAAAAGTTAAACAAGATTTTGTTAGAATAAAGGAAAAATACCTGTCAATGGCATCAATAACAGTGTCAGAATCGTCTGTGCTTTGAGGTCCCTTTTGAATGTTCTATTCCTTCAATCTAGATTCGTTCAGTTGGTGGGGGGCGAGTGAAGTTGTTTCCTTCTATGGTCCTTTTATGGGTTGTGGGGTTAATCACGAAGCTTTTCTTTGTTCTTAATCAAAATGCTTGGAGTCGGATAGTTTGTTTGCATTCTTTGTCTACTTTTTTTTTTTTCTTCAAAGCCTTAGTCAACGAGTGGGGCCTACACAACAGTAGAATTCTCGCTCATGGGTGGTCCAAGCTGGACTTGCCGACTTGCCGACTTGTCAAAAAAATCTGAATTGGCAATGACATGTGCATATATGACGGAGGCCAATAGTGCATGTGCTGCACGTGATCCTCCGATATTAAATTTTGCCTCATTTCCTTAAACTCGAAAATATGGAGGGCAAAAATCCATGTATTTGAATATTAGGGATAAAATGCCTCAAATTCAATAAATTGAAGGGCAAATGGGGGGTTTTGCCCCCAAACAAAAGCAAATCAATGATATTTCCAGAAAACCAGTCTAAAAATATTTTAAAATGTAAATATCAATCTACCTGATGTCGATCCAACCAGTTGAACCAGAACCAGAGATCGAAACAGGCCACCAATTCAATTTTAAAAACATTGAGTAAAAGTATAACTAAATACTGGTAAAAATGAAAATTCAGCTTAAAAAAATTGTCCATAATGGAGTGAATAATCAAACTAATCTGATTCCCAGTGTAACTCTCTTCACCTACAGAAATAATCATAACTTCCAACAAGGCTGTATATCCAATACAGGCATGACCGTGGGTTTGAAAAAGTAAAATAGAAATGGGAAATGTCAAAGAAACAATGGACATAAGCTTTCATGAGTTCTTCAACATGTTTGGATACTTGTGTTAAGTTACCTAACATGATGTACATTCTGATGGGCACGATATTTGTCCTGATTGAGGTGTATGGGAGATTGATGGTGCATTGGTTGTTGACCATATTGGCGAGCGATGTTACGACGAGTAGAACGATTTCTTGACTCTCTTGGTCTCTCATTTACTGCTTGAATCCGTTCCAATGTCTCCACAACCTCTTTCATTGATGGTCGGTGTTTTGGTTCAGTTGCAAGACATTTTAGAGCAAGCTGAGCTATTTGGAAAGCAGCTTTGGAAGGATATTTCCCCTCCAAGCGGTGGTCCATTACGCCCTTCAACTTTCTTCTTTCAGATAAATGTGGCTTGATCCAGTCTACCAAATTCTGCTGCTTGGAAGGGCGAGTTGGGTCAAGTGCTCGTAAGCTTGTTAAAATCTCAACTAAAACAACACCAAAACCATACACATCGCTCTTTATGTACAAATGCCCTGTCAAGCAAAGTATTTGAGTCGTGTAAAAATTGAAAGTAACGTCTGGTACAGTCTTTAAGAGAAAAAATTGAGTTTTTGAGGGTAACCTGTGGCAACATATTCAGGAGCAGCATAACCATACGTGCCCATTACGCGTGTTGTCACGTGTGATTGACTAGCTGAAGGACCCATTTTGGCCAAGCCAAAGTCCGAAATTTTGGCATTATAGGACTACAAAAGAGACAACTGTTAGAACATGTGAAACTCACGTGACCAACTCTTTTGATTTAGAATATTTTCAAATCATGAAAGATTTTTACCTTTTGTTTAATACCAAGAAAACCATAAAATGTAAGAAAAATGAAAATACCGTCAGTTATATGGGTCATTACCCCATCAAGAAGTATGTTGGAGGCTTTGAAATCTCTATATATTACTTGCTTGTCTGATGTGTGCAAGAAAGCCAAGCCTTTAGCTGCTCCAATTGCAATTTTCAGCCGGATATCCCATGGAAGGGACTGAGCAGCAGAACCTCCTGCACAAAGATAATTATGCAGAGTATGATGAACGGGAAAACTTCAAATCTGCACACATGATTATATGGTTGTACAAGTAGTCAGGTATAAAAACATTTAACCATATTAAACATCCTTACTTCCAAATAGATGGTTTTCCAAGCTGCCTTTTTGCATAAATTCATAAATAAGAAGAAGCTCCTTTTCCTCTAAACAGTATCCCAGGAGCCTTACAAGGTTGGGATGAGATAGTCTTCCCAAGAAATTTATTTCTGACTGCACTAACAAATGAAAAGGCCAAAGCATTAATGTGTTAATAACCATAAGAGTATGATTGGCAATGATAAAATTTTTCTTTTTCCTTTTTATGAACCCAAAGGCTGGATCCAAGATAGGAAATACATTATAAAGAATGGCTTACATGTTAAACTATATCTTCAAAAAAAATTAGTAAAGCAAGCTTCCAGTTTCTGTTATATGTCAGAGAGGGAGATAAGTGATTTTGAAGGTGTACGATATCAGAAGCATCTATCCACAACAACATAGCTACTGTATCAAACATCTTAGTTATATAGTTGTTAGAAACATAAATTTCCTCTTCGGGTTCAGCATAGCAAAGAGAGGATATATCACCATTTCAAATTTGGATGTATTTAACTAATTCAACCTAAGAATTTTAAGCCAGAGATAAGACATTGTCATTATATAATTGCAGATAAAACCATTTACATTTTCTTCAATTCTTGTCCTTGTCATGGGATGAAACGTTAAAGATCTAAAGGCAGTTTCAGTTTTCAAAGCATCTGCTGTTCCAAAAGAATAATGCAAAGCATGATAAGAATACTGAACCTTGACAGTTGTTAGTGTCACTTCTAAACACTCTGTACTTGCCCCAAGAAGTTTTGAACTCTATAAACACTATATTTTCTTTCCAAATTATACTTACTAGCTTAGAGGTCTGACTTCTCTTATGCCCTAATTTAATTAGTTCAAGTTTTACTTGGGTTACACAGAGACTAATTCAATGTGGAAAGGACTACTTTTCATCTCTAAGAAAAAACACATCAGGAGGACCCTAAGAAATACTTCAATGATCAAAATTGTAAATGAGTTTTGAAAGGCCAAGTTATAGAAGAAGTAATTAAAATAAGAAAAGGCAACACTTTCTTTATTTTTTTTAATGAAAAATGCAACAATTTTTTTTTTTAATGAAAAATGCAACAATTTTTTTTTTTTTTTAATGAAAAATGCAACAATTTCTTAAACCAACTATAGGTTCCCAACAGGTTAATTCTTTCTCAAGTTTACTAATCACCTGCCACTCCTCAAGCCCTTGCATGCTCTCAGAATTCAACTTTTTGACAGCAATTGCTGTGCTATTTCCACTCTTCCCATTGGCCTTCTCATCAAGCCAACCTTTGTAGACTTTTCCAAAGCCTCCCTCTCCAAGTACTGTATCAGACCTAAAATTCTTGGTTGCAGCCTTGAGCTCTGCGAAACTAAATATCCTCAAATTAGGAGTGGGCAAAATCTGCCCATTAGGAAAAGCTTCATCCCCACTTGAAGCCGAGAACAGGCTGTTCCGAGAGATGTTGCTGCCCCTAGAAGTCCCAATAGAAACTGTGTTGCTATTTGTCTGAGAAGTCCCTGTTATAATCACACATATTTAGGTAATCTCAGCCAATATTGACATGAAAAGTTATGGGTTTTTTCCTACTCACAGAAAGAAAGTAAAAATGAAAATCAACAGATAATTGAAATTGACTAAGCATATCAAGAAAAACACATGCGAGAAATTCAGCATAGCAAATTCCTATAGAATCCAGAAATGTATAGTCAAGAACACAAACATGAAGAGGTTTTTAATTTTTTGGTAATCAAGCATTACAAATTTGGTTCGTGGGTATTGAAAACACAGAACATGGAAATTAAACAAAAGCAATTGAGGCAGGTAAATTTATTACAAAATGATAAAATAAATAAATAAATGAATAAAGGGTATCCAAGAATACCTGCACTCAGATGACCTGTGGTGCTTGCAGCAAGATCATCAGTTAGAGAACCCCAGCAATTCCCCATCCTTACTGTCTACCTTCTTGCTAGACAAAAAATTATACCCCAGATGTATCCAAAAATTATTCTTCAATAATCCGATATCAAAAATTACGAACCTGCTTGCTATCTTTCGCTGTTCAAACGCTAAATGGGTAGAAATTTTCTTGCTGTTTCTCGGTCACTGACTATGGCTTTTTCTTAGCTTGACGCTCACGGTCAAAGAAACAAAATTAAATGACATAGGAACTTTGAAAGGGGAAGAAAAATTTTATAATGTAAAGTTTTCAACGGAAGACTGGGTCAATAGTTTAATGCTGAGTTTTGAACACGAGACTGGGTCTTTGCAGATTGCAATTGCAAAGTGAAGGCTTGGCCATGGCGGGTTAACGCAGTGTGGTTGTTTTATTATTATTATTATTATTTATACATATTTTTTACCTTACGGATTAGAATTTATTATAATTTTTTAAAGTTGTGTACTCTTTAAGTATGAGATAAAAATTAATGGTTGAATAATAATTATATTTTTAAAAAATATAAAATTTAGAATTTAAAAAATAATTTTTATTTTTTAATTTAAAATGAATTAACAAAAAGTTAACATATTATATCTATAATTAAAATAAAAATTAATTTTATCACTTTTAAGATAAATTGATCTTTTGAATAAAAACGATAATAAATATAATAAAAAATTAATAAATCTCAATTATTAAAAAATAAAGAGATGAATAATAAAAATTTTATATAAATATAATATGTAAAATTTATGTATAAATTTATTTTTATATAACATTATATGTATTTAATAATTAAGTTTTTATTTTATTTATAGATACATATATCAATTTAATAATCCCTTACAAATGATTTTAAAGCTGTACTTTAGACTAATTTTTATATAATTTTATCATATAATATTACGTACATTTAAAAATGTTAATTTTTTCTATTGATAATTCCATAACTTAAATCCTTGCATTTATTCTTTAAGGAGATATTTTATTTATTGGAGCATGTAGCCCTCGAGGATGGAAGGGAGGATTATTATTCGTGGTCAAATGCCGCGTTATTGAGCTTGGTCAGACAAACCGAAGAAAAAGTAATTGAAAATTCCTCCCCAGTTGGTCCCTCACCTATTATATTGACCCTCAATTTGATCCCCAAACTTAAAATATCTCTGTTTAATCTTTGAAGCTTGAGATTTTAGCAATGTTTTCCATAACTTTTTAAAGGAGTTCCGTTAACTTTTAGTTACCTGGCATATCGTTCGTTTAATTAATTAACTCCCCAGTATTTTGATTTTTCTATTTTTTAATAGTCTTTGGAAATGATGTGGAAATGGAGGATTGTTTGCGTAAAATTTTTGAAAATTTGTGTTTTCTTGGAAGAGATACATGTGGCTTTAAAATTATTGAGAGTGGATCCCATTTAATACAAAAAATTAATGTAATTAGGTTAAATGTTAAATTTGGTCCCTCAACTTTAGTGAGTTGCACATTTTTGGTCCTTCAACAATTTTTTGCACTTTTTTGATCCCTCAACTATACGAAATGCACTCCGTTAGTCCTTCTGTCAATTTTCGCTGTTAACTTGGCCACATGGCATTTTTTATATTTTTTTTTGGATGACATGGCAAAAACAACTTAAAAGGCGCTGATTTGGACTTTTTTTTGGCCACATGTCATCTTCCTTTCTCATCTTCCCTCTCTGCAAAATTAACCTCATCTTCCTGTCTCATTTTCCCTCTCTGCAAAATTAACCTCCACTCCATCTACAGAATCAATCTTAACCCATTTCTTCTTCCTTCTAAATGCTATCTCATCTCCACTCCTCTACAAAACCGATCTTAACCCATTTCTTCTTCCTCTCTAAATGCTCTCTCATCTCCACTCTTATGCAAAACCGATCTTAACCCATTTCTTCTTCTTCTCTTTTCTCAAGAGAACCTGAGAAATTGAACCCAGTTACTGGGTTTCATTCAAGCCTCAAACTTGGTAAATCTTATCAAATCAAATTAACCATTCAATAAACAAAATAAACAATATCAATCAAACTCTAATCAAACTCCAACAAAAATACAATCAAATTGTAAATCAACTCTCAAATTTATTAACAACTGGAAATGAAAATCCAAAGAAGAATGAAAAAACATGAATTCAGCATCGAAACAGCAAAGCTGGGTTCATCGGAACCCAGCTTGGTCTCGTC